CCGCCACGCGTCGTCCGTGTCACCTGAAATGATTGACTTGACGAGGAGCGCGGGGGCGAAAAAGTGGGTCGAATTGCGGCGGCGGCGGCGCCGCGCGTCGCGTCGCGTTCAAACTGGAGAGGGGAGGTGGGGCGGGGTGTGAGGGGGTGCGCAGGATGTGACTCAAATACTAACGATCAACGTCGTTATGAGAAGAAAGGCCCCTTCGACGGCGAGGCGCGCAAGGATTGGCGAATAACAAAAGCTCCCCCTCTCCTCCCCTCCTGGCGCACGCTGCTGTGCGGGGCTTCCCCCTCCGACCCCCGCCCCGCCACCCCTCCCCCGGACGAAAAACTGTTGTCGTAATAATTGGCACAGCGTAAAACACAGCGATGCGCCCGTCCTCGAGCTGGACACGTTCCTCGCCATTGCCCTCGGGCCGGGCGCACGTCTGCGCTCGTCGTCGCGTACGGACGATCACGGACGGACGATACGGACGGACGTACGGACGGACTGAGAGCCAGCTTACATTACCTAGATTACGTACCGCTCACCGCAAAACGCCCGTAGGAGAGCAGTGCACGGCCGCGGCGGGGCTGGCAGTGCCCGCCACTCCACTCCACGACCACCACACCTCCACCCCGCCGTGACGTCACAGGGGGGGTTGACGCCTGACGCCTGCGCTCGCACTGCCACAGCGACACAGCGCAAACTGCGCTGCTACTGCTTCTGTTGCCATTCGCGCAATGAAAACGAAGGCGAATAAGGAGGAGGAGAAGAAGAAGCAGGAGAAGAGGAAGAAACAGGAAATGTTGAGGAAGAAGATGAAAAAGGCGACCGGCGGCGTGTCGCCGTGGTGGAAACAAGCCCCTCCGGCGGACGAGCGAGCGATGACGACCACTTTTATTCGGTGCATCGCGACGTGGACGACGACGACGCGCCGGCGTGGCTCTCCCCGTTATTGCCTGGATGTTGTTGTCGGCGGCTGCGGTCTGTCTCTCCCGGGGCGGGAAGTACTCGCTCGGGCTCTCCACCACAACCATCACCTCCAGCACGTAAAACTCGCTCGCTCGCCCGGCCGCCTCCCTCTCCGCTCCTCGACCGTATAAACGGTCCGGCCCGGAACAGACACGAGGAACATCTCTCGCGGCGGCGGGGTCGTTTCGTTTTCAAGAAACAAGGAAGCGCAAAATGTATAAAGAACTTTACGTTGTTTTTTTGTTTTTGTTTTTCGTCATCATCGCCGCTCTTTTACTAATCGAGCAAAAAGGGTTAGCACCCCGTCAGGTTACATCATTTTGCCCGACTGCGCGGGACGCCTGGCGTTGTCACGTGACCACGTAACAACGTACACACCGGGATTGTTTTTGTCGAGCTGCGCCGCTGGGCCGCACCCCTCGCACGCGCAGGGGAATATTTTTTTTTTTGTTTATTTGCTTTATTTTATTACGAAGCAAAGCCTCTCTGTGAAAGCTAGAGGGGGGTAGAGGGGGTGCTGGCGCATCGGCGGCGCGAGCGGAACGCGAACAAAAGCGGTAAAGGCCTCTCTGTCGCTGTTGCTGCTGCCGCCGCTGCTAAAGGGCACGAGAGGGGCGTCAGGCGCCGGGCTCGGGCGGCGACATGACATGCTGCTGGTAGCGATGCGCGCGCGCCAGAGTGAAAGTGCGGCGGGGCGGGGCGGGGCGGGGCGCCTTGTCTCCCTGATGTGCTCGCGTTATCGGAGCCGCCACCGCCGCCGCGGCCGCG